AAGTGGGTTTCTGTTGGCCAGAAAAAAAGCCATTATTGTCTTATTCCCTCCTACAGTTCCCCAACCTCCAAAGAGGGCATTCAGTTCTCTATTAATTCAAACCTGTCCAGCAGTTCTGAGCCCCACACCTAGTTCCCAGGCTGTTCCAGCTAACCCGCCCTCCTCCCCCTGCAGCTTAGCCCCTTACGAGACCAGCAGGACTTCTCCCCATCGTTTTTTTGCTTTCCTCTCTGTTCTCATTGCTCTGGTAACTGCTAGTCTCTCCTCTCTCTGTCCCTAAAATGTAGCCATGGATGGGGTGATAACTAATCTCTGTTGTCAACTTGACTGATCTTTGGAGCCACCTAGGAGACACACCCCAGGCTATGCTGTCAGGAGGGCCCCAGCGAGTTTGTTTTTTTGTTGTTGTTTTTGTTTTTGTTTTTGTTTTGTTTTGTTGGTTGGTTTTTTGAGACAGGGTTTCTCTGTGATTTTGGAGCCTGTCTTGGAACTCACTCTGTGGACCAGGCTGGACTCGGCACTCAGAGAGATCTGACTGCCTCTGTCTCCCAAGTGCTGGGATTAAAGGCGTGCACCACCAACGCCAGGCACTCCCAGAAAGTTTTAACCAGGGACAAAAGCCCCACACCTGGCTGAATAAAAAATGAGGTGAGAGTGTCCTGGCTGTGGTGACAATGTGATCAGTGACCCAAGTCCCTGCCACCACAGCTAAAGCTACTCTCAACCCCATAACCCCAGACCACACCGTGATGGACTGCACCTTCAAGCCTCAGAGTTCAAAAAAATCCCTCCTTCCTGAAGTTGCTTTTCCAGGCATTTTGTCACTGGCAAAATCTCCAGCTGCCGCCAGGTCATTGGTACTTTCTTAGAATGCTTCTGAATTTCTCACAGTGCACTGGTGCACTAATCAAAGCTGTGGGAACTGGCAGATTTTTAAAGTTTTTATTTATTTTTAATTTATGTGTATAACTGTTTTTTATGTTTGTATATGTATGTGCACTGCATGTACGTCTGGTGCCCCATGAGCCAGAAGAGGGTGCCAGATCTCATAGTACTGTAGTTAAAGACAGTTGGAAGATGCCATATGGGTGCTGGGAACTGCATCTTTGTTTCCAAAGTCAAGCATGAAGGACGGATTATATTTTTGGGTATCAGCAAACTACAAAAAGCAGGTGGGACTCCAACTACCCACCACAACACCTGGGAGGGAAGAAAGGAGAGAGGAGGGAGGGAAGGAGGAAAGCTGGGAGGGGTAAGTCAGGGGAGAAGAGCAGGAGGGAGGGGCAGCCGATGTTATACTCAGCCAAGTTGTTGCTCGTATGCTTGCACAACCCAGAAACATTTCAAATAGGCAAGAATTCAGAGAGCATCCCTCAGGCATTCAACACCAGCATGCAAATCAGTCAGAAAAGATACCTCACCTCCTTCACATTCCCTGCTGTTGATCTTGCCCAAGTCCACGGCCTTCGATATCCTTACTCTCCATCAACCCCATACGTTTCTGGTGCTATACCCTTCACCAACCACTGGACCCTCCTTGTTGATTATCCCAACATTCAAACAGAACCCATGCTTCTCCAACTCCCCAACTGTTACTTTTGCACTCTCCACAACCAGTACTGGCCCCTGAGCAGACACCTGAAGGTCCCGACTCCTACCTGATTCATCACCCGCAGCACCACACTGACAGCTATGCTCCGGGCACACAGCTCTCCTTCCTCTGCAATCTCCATGCACCATGTCACCGGGAGTCACCCTGTTGGACACTGGGTGTCCCAGCCCCTACCTTCCTCCAAGGACTCTCTCCTGTTTTATAGATATTGACTCTAAGCCACACTCCCTATACCATCCCTGGTCCCCTCATTCCTGCACCTCCATCCCAACCCCAGGCTTTGACACACATTAGCCCAGGTCCTCTGAACCCTGGCCAGATAAAATGTCCCCATTCCACACATAGCACACCCTTCCCAGTGCTAGGCTCTGTGTCTATTTCTCTGTCCTATGAACTGGAGAATTGCTCAAAGCAAGGTAGCCCCTCACTCCCGAGTCCCTCTTCCCTGACACAGTGCCTGGCCCACACGATATCCCATATGATGGTTGTGATCACCAAACACCATCACTGCAGTGATGGCTAGTTTTAATCAATGATCACCTGAGGGAAAGTCCCAGTGAGGGATTTAGGCTAGCCTGTGGGTGTGTCTGTGGGGGATGATTAATCAACTCATCATTATGTTAATTGATACAGGAAGAGCCAGTCCACTATGGGTGGCATCATCCCGGCATGCGGGTCCTGGATTGTATAAATGTAGGTAAACTGAACTGAATAGCAGGCATGTTTGCACCCATGTATTATTCTTTCTCTGTTCTTGCCTGTGGCTGCGATAACATTGCTTCTCAGGTCTGCTGGGAGGGCTGTAACCTGGGATTGTGGGCTGAAACAAAGTCTTTATCCTTTAAGCTGTCTTTAGCTGAGTATTTTATCAAGCAGCAGAAATTAAACTAGGGCATGGGCGCCCTCACATCCCTGCTGCTGGTGCCTGAGAAGTGGCCTTCCAAAGCCTGGGACCCTACAACAGAGATGAGGTTCCCACTCTAGACCTGGGAGAAGAAAGGGGAATCTTCTGGCACAGTCCCTGGCCCTGGTGATTTGGGGAGGTTCTCCACCATGAACTGGCCAATGGAATACACAGACTACCTTCCACTAAGAAAGATGCCATAGCCAAGAGCCAGTGTTACTGGCCTCCCTTGTGTCGCCTGATGAGATTCACCCAGACCGGACACAACATGGAGCCTAGAAAGCAAGAAGGGGCAGAAGAGGTCTCTTTCGAGCAGCAGCAGATACCCCTGCCAGCACCACCACACTTGGGGCACTCTCTCCAGTTTCAGAGCCTTGAGTCCAGTTCCCAACTGTGCTTCCTAATTTCATGTCAACTTGACACAAGCAAGAGTCATCTGAGAGGAGGGAGCCTCAACTGAGCCTCCAGAGGATCAGGCTGTAAGCAAGCCTGGAGAGCATTTTCCTAATCAGTGATTGATGGAGGGCTCAGTCCATTGTGGGTGGTGTCATCCCAGGGCTGGTGGTCCTGAGTTCTATGAGAAAGCAGGCTGAGCAAGCCATGTGGTCCGATCCAGTAAGCAGCACCCCTCCATGGCCTCTGCATCAGCTCCTGCCTCCAGGATCCTGCCCTGCTTGAGTTCCTGTCCTGAGTTCCTCCAATGACGGACAGTGATGTGGAAATGTGAGCTAAATAAACCCTTTCCTCCTCGAGTTGTTTGGTTCATTACAGCAACACCAACCCTAACAAAGACACCATCCAAGCTGCCCCACACTCCTTCAGGGCACATAGGTCTCTTCTTCCTGGCTTAACCACAGGCAGCTGTATTACTTACAACTAAGAACCTGACTGATGAAATAGATTGTCATCCTTGGCTATCTTTGGAGACAGGTTCCAGGATCTTTGTGGATACCAGAGCTCTCAGGTTCTCGAGTGCCTTGTATAAAATAACAGTGGAGGATGGAGAGATGGCTCAGGGGTTAGGAGCACTTACTGCTCTTCCAGAGGACAAGGTTTTGTTTTTCAGCACCCACATGGTGGCTCACAAACACCAGTCATTCCAGTCCCAGGGGATCCACCACCCACCCTCTTCTGGCCTCTGTGGGTACTGCATGTGTGTGACACAGACATACAAGCAGGCAACATACCCATACACATTGATTTAAAAATTTTACCATAGTGTTGTGTTGGCGTATAACCTACACACATGCTCTTGTGTGCTTAAAGCATCCCCACGTTACCTACAAGAACTAATGGTGTAAACATAAATATTACACAGTATTTTAAGCAAATAATGATAAGAAATGTCTATGTATTTTAGTGCTGATATACTATTTTTATTTATTTGAGTGAGTTTTAATGATGTTTGTTTCACTCAGGATCAAATCCAGGGCCTTCTACTTGGTAAACAAGCACTTTACCACTGAGCTGTCTGTGGCCCCTGTTCCAGATCCAGTTAAAACAATGTATCTTCTAACTATGTTGAAACTGCAGATAGGGAATCTCAGGATACAAAGGACTGAGTGTGGTCTACAGAGGCTGAAAACAGGGAAAGATCAGCTACACAACTAACTGTTTGAGACAGAGTAATCATTCATGTTAAGTGACTGAATGGAATATATATATATGTTAATTTATTTGTTTGTTTCCTTATTTAGTTATTTGGAGAAAGGGTCTCCCATATTTCAAGCTGGCCTCCAACTCCAGATACAGTCAAGAATGACCTTATGACCCCAAGCTTCTTGCCCCACAGCAGCCAGACCTGAGTACTGACATCACAGCTGAGACCACGCCTGGCTTGGGTGCTGCTGGGGATCAAACCCAGGGCATCCAGCATGCTAGGCAAGCATTCTACCAACAGAATTGCATCCCAGCACTCTGAACATACTGAGAACAAACCCCTGGGAATTGAAGTGCATCTGGTAATGGTGGTGCATGCATTTGCTTCCAGAGATGACCGTGACATGTACTTGGACCAAATTAGCATGACTCTTACTAATTTCGTCTCACTCTGCTACATGAATTTTCTGCAGCTCAGAGAGCTGTCCCTGGTGTTTCTTTATAGGTAAAGTGCAAGGTCACCTTTTCAATGTACATAGTTACATAACTGTCAGCAAAGCATGTGACTGTGATTCTTGCCCACCGGCATCATGCCACCCAGTCTTGGAGGGCTGTCAGTACTGAGTGACCAGCAAGCCTGCCTTCCTGCAGTAGCTATGTGATGGAGACACTGGCTAGTGGCAGCTCCATTCCGAATCCTGCCTGAGTGGGTAAGTATGTTGCTCCAAGAGCACAGAGCGAAATGTGTGTGTTCCTGCATGCCAGTCGATCCCTTCTTGGCACATGCTACTAGCACCTATTTCCATCTTTATGAAACACATTTGGGACCCACAGGAGCCCACACAGTCAGTGGCAGCACCCGAGCAGATGAAGGCCAGCTCTTACCTGCCTGCGCAGCAGTGATGAGGGCCGTGTTCCCTTCGCTGTCCTGCCAGTTGACGTCAATGTGGGGGCACTCTGCTAAGGCCACCACAGTATCCACAAAGCCATGGTAGCAGGCAACAATAAGGCCAGTCTAGAAATGAAGAGGGGAAATGGGTCAGAGGTACACAGCCCAAGCATCTCCAGTGAGCTCTGGGAACCCAGGGGCAGGGAGCTGTCCTCCTGGGAGCTGGAGGAGGGGCAGTAAGGACCTCAAGTCCCCAGTTCTCAACATCTTTAACTTTTAGGTCAACCACTTATCTGCAAATGAGCTGAGCCCATTCCCAAGAAGCACGATGTGTAGTCAATGAATGGCTAGATCTCTACCCTCAGAAGTGTTTCCCTCTAATGGGAAAGAAAGCACATACACAGGTACACACACAAGCACGCGTGCACGCACGCATGCACGCATGCACACTGCAGCACTCAAATGCTATTAAAACACAAGGGAGGTTATATAGAAGGAGAAAGGACCCTAACGCGGGAGATGGGAGAGAAGAAAAGTAATAGGAAAACCAAATATTGCTTATTTTCTCATATGCAGAATCCATCTATATAAAGATTACAATAGCATCCATAACATAGGTTTTATCATCTCAGACACAAAAGCAGGTGGCAGACTGCTTGTGGGGTCTGAAAGAACCAGTGGAAAGAGAAACAGGGCAAGATAGCTCTTGGCTCTGGCTAATGGTGGGGAGACTGGGAGGCACAGGCACTGCCCCTGTGACCTCTAGAGGATTAAGGCTGTTACTGAGCCCTGAGGAGGCAGCTTCCCCCAAGAAAGGAGAAGACACAGAACCCAGGCTGTCAGGTGCAGTGTGAGCAGCCGCATCCCACCTTCCTGCCTGGATGGTCCTGGGCTTTCCACTTGGGTGTAAAGTTCACTTTTGTTGTTCTTAGGATTCCTCTTTGCCGCTGCTTAGGGAGGGAATAGCTAACATTAATTAGAAATGGGTGCTGTTCAAGGGAAAGGCTCCTAACTCCTTCACACACTTCTCTATCCTCACTGGTCTGTAACTCCCAAGGAAGGGACTCCAATTTTGGACCTCAGTGGCAATCTCTCATGTATCTGAGGAATTACAAATCCATGGCTTAGTTTCATCATTGGTCAAGTCAGAAGTAGACTGGGGAGCAGGGACTCCATGCTGCCCTTTGAACATGTGTAAGCAAAACATCTAGGCATGACAAAACACACACACACACACACACACACACACACACACTTGAGAAATGTATTGGGTAGATGACTCAAGAATGCACAAACATGAGATTCAATTACAGGATATCCCTCTCAATCCCCAAGGGCTTTACCTGGAGAGCCTGGTGCTATAGACTGATTGCCTTTGTCTTCTTTCAAGTCACCTATGGACTCCTAATCCACAGTGTGATGACATTAGAGGGTGGAACCTTTGAGACCTGACCCATCATGAGGATACCACTATCATGAACAGGGTTAGTGACCAAAGAATAGGGACCTCAGACAACTCTCCAGATGTTTTCCCAGAATTCAAGAACAATAGAGAAGGTGGCCATCCGAGACCTGAAGAGACAGACGCTCATCAGAACCAAGGCCCCCTAAAACCTTGACCTCTGGCTTCCACAGAGTACAAAACTGCAAAGGAAGAAATTCCCATCGTTCATAAGTCACAACATCCACAGTGTTTTGTTACAGCAATCTCAGCTGACCAAAACACTTCTAACAGCAAAGGTGCGGGGTTACATTCTCTGACACAGATTAACAGTCACCTAATCCAGGCTCTCAGGAGCCAGATTTGATGATTACGCCTCTTTCAGCACAGCTAATGCATGCTCTCTGCTGCATGAGCGTGCCAAGGTTACGTTCACAGCAATCCCATGGTGGCCCAGCATTGCTTCAACCAGATTTTTCAATAAAAATGTCACTGGTGATTCGGGCATGGTGGCATACTCCTGTGTCTCAGCCATTTAGGGGGCGAAGGCAGCAAGATCTCAAACCAAAGCCAGCTTGAGCTCCAAGGCCAAACTGGTTCAAAACTACAGGAAAAATGATTTTTTTTCAGAACCTGCCTTTTCCAGTTATCATAAGAAGTTGTCCTGCCAAAAGAATGTTAGATCATGTGTCCACATGTCAAGCTCTAAGGAATAATCTCCATAAAGATAGCCCACTACTCTCCAGCTGATGGCTTTCAAATAGGTTGCCCATCCATAAATTAAGATTTTTTTTTTCAGCTTTTTAATCTTAAAGAGAAAGAGCACAGAGCGCTGCAGGAGTGCCAGACAAGCAAGATGCTGGAGTTGGCAGTTTTCCTGCTGACCTGGTCACGAACCAACTCTCCATCCTCCCTCTCTCAACGGTCAATTCATGGTTGCACAAATGAACCAGAATGCTCCCAGCACCACCTGGGAACTCCTGAATTCATCCCAAACATATCTGGGTGGAAGAATTGCTCTAGCATTTGACTATTTCCTGATTTAGAAGTAAGACGTACTGAACATACTGTAACTTCCTCTTTATGCACTTACTGTGCATACATGCTTACATGCATGCACACGCACGTGCACATGTGCACACGCACATGCTCACACACACACACAAACACACACACACACACACACACACACACACACACACACAGTTTTTCTTCAAATTAAAAGAAGAGTCTTTGCTGTATGCTTCTGGCCTTCTTCCATCACCAAGCTCACCCATGAAAACAACTCGGAGATCTAGAGGAGTACACACAGTTATTGAAAAGCCGTTCTGTTTCTCCCTTAGGAGTATATAGACCGTGAAGCCCGCAGGTCTAAGTCACCCATGTAGCATGGATTAAAGGAACAGCTCAACCCCCCCTTGAGAGAAGTCAGCTGCAGTTGCCACCCCAACAGGATCCTCCTCCTGTACAATCTCCAGTTCCAAGGGTGGTTATGTGACACTTGGGGTCCCTGGGTCTTGACCAGCTCTTCTCTTGGGACAGCTGTCATTATGATGCTGCTCCCTGACTACGACTACTGAGGGTTGTTCCACCCACCCACCACCTGAGGAAGAGTTCTTAGAACAGGAAACAGGTTAGATGACGGCAGCCTGATGTTTGGTCAGAAATGAAGACTGCCAGAGAAAGAGGGATGACTAAACACGGGGGTTCAGGAAGTAGTGACGCTCCCCTTCTGCCCCAGGACCTTGGTGACTATGCAAAATCGAGACATTTGTGGCCTATCTTCTTGGGCACTGGTCCAAAAGGCCAGCAGCATATCCACGTTTAAAACACTAGTTCACATTCCAGAATGAAGGCAGAGCTGCTCAGGAGGCCTCACCTCTAGTTGAGGAGCTGCTGATAAATAATTGAAGGCTCCTGGGGAAGAAGAGTCAGTTCTCTCTAGAGATGTTGGCCTTCATGGGCTGCCTATGTCCTGGGAGATGGGCCTACATCCGTGCACACGAGGCAGCTTGTGTGGTTTAAGTTCCGTCTTGGCTGGAGTGTTAGTGCCCCAGGTTAATGTGATTTTAGTTTGCAGTGTCCGAATATAGAGTAAGACTGAACTTCTTCGATGTCTTGTCATCCATCTGCATTTCCACTCTAATAAACTTTATTTATGTCCTCTGTCTACCTCCTCCTGGCTTCATCACCTTTTCCTCATTGATCAGGCTAAGTTCTTTATGTATTCAAAGTCAGCACTGTCCACAAGAAATAGAACGGGTATCACCAATGACTGTAATATAAAATATTCTAATGGCCCTATTGATAAAAGCAATTATCCCCACAGTGTACTTTACTTAATCCAACATAGTCAAAATATTTCCATTTCAACAATAATCAATATGGGGGGGGAGGGCAGAACCTATTTTCTGTCCTTCCTATTTACTGTATGTTTTGCCAAAAAAAAAATCATTTTGATGTAACAAGATTGTTATTGTTTTCCATTATGGCAATGCTTTTTGTGATTTAAGACATCCTGCCTGGGCTGGAGAAAAGACTCAGTGGGTAAAGGCACTTGCCACAAAAGCCTGACAACCTGAGTTTGATTCCCCAGAACAGGTAGAAGGGGAGAACTGGCTCTACAAAGTTGTCTCCTGACATCCACATGTGTGCTGTAACACACACACACACACACACACACACACACACACACACACACACACACAGTTTTCAAAGTCAGAAATTCCTTCTGGTTGGGTATGGTGTATTCTCCTGTAATCCCAGTACTCAGAAGGTGGAATAGAGGTTTCAAGGCCAGCCTCAGTTACATGGGAACCTGACAAACAATAAAAATGAAGCACCTCCTTTGTCTTAAAGCACTACAAAGATACTCATGCTTTATGTGGAAAGTTTCAGGGTTTACATACTCATTTTTAGGTTTAATCCACCATTGCCTCGTTTTTCCTGAAGTGACCTTTGTAAAGATCTAATTTTCCTTTTCCTGCATGGCAAGCCAACTTTGTCATCACAATTTGTGAACAAATTCATCTGCTCTGGTCAGTAATATCACACTCAGGCATATCCCAGTGTCACACAAATGCCAGAATGCTCCTCCGGCCCTGGACAATCCTGACTTCACACTGTATGTAGTCTTAACTCCTCCTCCTCATTCTCACACTACTTCAGAATTACTATCCCATGCCGGCTAAGGTTTGACCATATTGGAAACTTAATATGCAAAGTGACCGTGTGAAGTGGGCCGCTCTCAAGTGTGGATCGATGCTAGTTTTATGCAGGCAGCAAGTTGAGGTCTGGCTTCTTCAAGCAGGCACTTCTTCATTCACAGAAGGGCACAGCAAGAAAACATCTCCTTGATGTAGACTTACTGACTTCCCAAAGCCAATCATGCTTCCATTGTTTACATGCTACTGAAGGTATAATAATTTGTTACTGCAGAATGAAACAGACTAAAACAAGGACCATGTTTTTGATTTTTTTTTTTAATTAAAACCACATTAGGAGTAGAAAAAGTAAACCACGCAAAATGCCAGGCCACAGGTCATGAGATGACAACCCAGGACAATGCTCGGGTTGCCAGCAATAGGCATTTTCTACATCTCCTAGGAAGACAAAGGAAGCGGCTCTTCAGAGTCACTGACTTAACATGGTTGCACTACAAGAGGGAGTTACAGAACGTAGCAGC